TGTGCACGGTGATTAAATGCAGAAGTGCCTGCCATGTGGAAGGGTTTCAAAGTGCTCTTCTCGCTCTCTTGGGTTTGGGTCTGGGGCTGCCCAGCAGCCTCTGGCACAGGAGTCCCTTTGCCTGTGATCTGGAGTTAAGCGTGCGGGTGCCTAGGTATTAAAGTGCTTTTGTAAGTAAATACAGAATAGTAATTGCAGTTACGCAAAAGAATAGCCAGGTTGGAGACTTCAAAGAGAGAGATGATGATGAAACCTCCCACCTTCCTCATATACATTATCACATGATATATTAGAAAGTCTACCCTGGGAGACTTTTTCTTGAACATTTTAGCCTAAGCTGTGTGGGAGGGATGTTTTCAGTTCCACAACACTTTAGCTGTTTTTTTCCCTATCCTGCATATGGGATGAAAAATGAAAATCTCCAAAATTTTCTGCAGACATAAAAAACACAAACAATAAGGCAGTGTCAATATCAAGAGCTCCACAGGATAGCAGCAGATTGTTCCATGTCAGGTTCAAATTTTATTAGTGTATTTTCTTTCAAACCAAATTAATCTAACTTTTGGAACAAAACAGTGTATCAGAAATGGTGTACTTAAAAATGAAGCTAGCTTGAGGTGAACTGAGTGGCAAAAACTGTTTTGGCAGGTTTCTAACATTTCTCCCTATAATGCATAAGAAATTGAGGACACTCCTGAAAAAAAACCAATATTTTTTATTTTTTTTTTTTTACGACGTATAGCAGGTGTTTATCCTGCTGTCCTGTATTGGAGGGTGTGAATGTATCTGCTCCCATAAACCTGCCCTGCCTGACTCCTCCTGGAGATCATTCTACTTGTCAGGTTTTTTTCAAATTTCTGAAGTAAACAAACCTTTTCTGCAGTCTTGATGAGAAAGCTCCTTGTCCATCTTTGCTTATCTTTTTATGAGTCATTTTCTGCTCTTCTGCCTGGAAATGGCCACATTGCAGGACATACAGTGTCTGCAGAGCATTTTAGAATGAGCATCTCTTCCCCTTTATGTTACAATAAAATCACTAAGCAATGAAATACGCTAAATTCTCACCTGAATAAATGTAGTTCAGTTAAAAATAATACTCACCAGCCTTCTGTATGAATTTGGAGAACTAAATGTAGTTCAGTTAAAAATAATACTCACCTACCAGCCTTCTGTATGAATTTGGAGAACTGTAAAAAGTCGATGGGCTTGTATGGAGGGTTCTGCTAACGTTAATACATTTTTTCAGTGTTTGGAGAAATTTGATTCATTTAAAAAAGCCTGGTGTGAATTCACCTGGCAGCATTTTCGATTTTTTTTCAGATCACTTTTGAAGGAAAAAAAAGTCCTTTGTGTGGAACGAGGTTTGTTTTACATTCAGTGACTGCAGGTTCGGGCTGAAAAATGGCTTGTTGGGGGACCAGCACATGGGCAGAGGCAGCGTGGCTTTGCTGGGCAGTGTGTGAGCCATCCAACCCTCCTGCTTCACTGTGATTTCTGCAAATACATGAGAGGACACACGTGGGACAGCCAGCTCCTCATGGGCCAAGTACAGTGCTGGTGTGTTCCTGGGGCCAAAACCCACCCAAGTGCACCAGCCACAGCTCTGCTTCAACACCTCAAACAATTGAATCATGGGGTCTGACTGCTTCATTTTGTGCTTAAAAAACCCAGAAGGCTAGTTTGGTTTAAAGTGTATGGAGTCTGTGCACATGAAGCACTCCCTGGAGCAGCAGCAGCATCTTCTGTGGGGACGGCTGCACCTAGGAGAGGAGCTGACACCTGGCACCTGCTGCCCTGCCCAGGGAATGGTAATGGATAAGTGTTCCTTTCCTCCTTCCTGCTGTCTCCTAATTTGCTAGTTTTTATCCTCTTTCAGGTAGGCACTTTACTCATAGTAACAATCAGTGATATTCTCTGGGAGAACAATCTGAGCCCAGCCGGGGCTGCTGGTGGTCGTGTCTGTGTGACAGATTCTGCACTTTGCTGATGGCTGAGAAAAATGGAAGGAAGGATCTGATCTGCCTCAAAAAATTAAAATGTTCAATGAACTGAGCAATCTCTGTTAGTTTTGTTTCAGGTCAGAGGAACAATTATATTTATTTTTCAAGCTTTCCTAATAAAAAACCTGGGGCCACCACCCTCCTTCAGCTTTTAAAAGGCAACATCAGTTCAAACTGAGAAATGGAAACATCTTGTTTTCAAAACACTGAGCCAAAATAATCAATATTTGCCCCCGCTTTTGACTTTTTTTTTTCTGCACAACAATAACAATTTGGCAAAGTTTGTATACAGTGGCGAGATGTTTGGGAACACCACAAACCCTGCTGGTTTCTTTCTTGAAAAACTGAGTGCTGGGAAGTGACAAGTGTTCAGTGGAGCAGAAAAGTGAGGGGCTTTCCCCAAATCTTTGACAGATGATGAGCAGTGCAGTGGCTAATGGACAGCTGATGCTACCCAGATTCTGAGCCTCTGCAAAAAGTTGTTTTACCGCAGAGGTTGGTTTGACCCACTTGAATGGCTGCAGCTGTGTTGATAAGGGCATGAGTGTGAGAAGGGAGATCAGCCCACCAGCTTTTAAGGTGCTCTTACCCTGAAATTGCTGTTCCCTGCAGAGGTTATGCTGGTACAGCGGTATTGCTGTAGGGTCACAGCTTTTGGAGCCAAACAGGTGCAGGACTCTCTTAGACAAGGCTTACATCAGCCCATTCTTTCTCGACAACTTCTTCCATTGAACTTCTGTGGCTGGTGATGAAGATGGAGATGAGGAGGTGAAGCCAGCAGCATCCTCGGTTGTGACTTGTGACTTTGGGACTTCATCCTCTTTTTGTCCCTCAGGTTTGAAATCACTGCATTTGTGTCTCCTCTAGATGTGCAGGCTCCTGTGTTTCCCAAGCCCTCTTTCCTTTCTGCATTCACCTCAAACTCACATGAGAGCTGGGTACACTTGCACTCTGGGTACATTTTGTGAGATAAAGTGACATCTCCTCAATTAGAAAAGCTAAACCAAAACAAGCTTTCTGTTGTCCTAGCTGGTGACATTTAGTAAGTCTGCTGCAAGGTGCCAACTCTCAAGAGTATTACAGCAGGGATGTTCACACTTCAGCTTCAGATTTAGATGTTCCAGAACAGAAGTAAGACCTGACATAAATAATCTAATTAAGAAAATAACAGCTAATAAAAGGCCATATGAATTTGGCCCCTGGAATACTTACATGTGCTTTAAATCTCACAAGGGTGCCTCTCATGGGCTCATAATAACCTTTGAACACTGTGCCACTGTTTTCGTATCACCCTTTTGCATTCCTGGGTTTTGCACCACTGGCTGTCCCCTGCTGTCCCCAAAGCCCACCTGGGACATCAAGAGGTGAAATGTTTGTGCTGGGAACAGTCAGGACAAGTCTCAGAAACATTGTGGATTTGCCTGAGGATTGAATTTCACTACGATGTATTTCTCATTTGAGCTGGCTTCAGGTTCATCAGTTCCTTCTGCAGGGGATAAACGTAATATTAATATGGGAGAAAGAAATAGCACAGGGTAATATCCCCCCCTGAAACACGACCTGTCTCTGGGACAGCAGCGGTTGTCAAAATTGTGTTTGGAATGTTAACACTTCAGTAGGGGGTTAACTGTGACAGTGATCAGACGGATAATTTCCTTTAAAATTACTGTTTTACCTCACTCCATCCAATTACGCAAGTTGTTTTGCTATCCCCCAGATCTCTCCATTAATGTCAACAAAATGATTATAGACTGCAACAGCGTCAGGATGTTTCGCCCACAGAAGTGCCGGTGAAATGTTGATGGCGCAACATGTTGAAAGCAGCGTTCGATGTGTAAATGTCAGGAATGATCAGCTTTCCTGTCACCAGAACCAAAAAGCACAAATACAGGCGTGGAAAATGTCACGCGCCCAACCAAAGAGCTTCTTCATTGCAGGCTGCACCAATTGTCATGGAAATAGACAACACCAGTGTCAGTAATGGTGTGGAAAAGCCCCCGTGGCTCTGGGCTGGTGATGCTGTGCACCATTTCTGATTTGGGGGCAGAGCAGAGGGTCTCCCATCTCTGTCCCCCCATCCATGCTGGCACGGGGGTGAGTCACACTTTCTGCTGGTGGATGGGTGGTTGAACAAACGTTGCTGTCAGTCCTCCAAAGGCATTGCTACTCCAGTCCCACCGACACGGAGGGTGCCCGGATCCTCTGCTGATGGTTTCTGCAAATCCCGCAGATGGAGCAAAACCACCATTTTGCAAATAAACCGTTATGAATTCCCCATTGCATCAGCACTCCTCATTTCTTGGTAATAGAAGCTACAAAGAAAAGTCTGAGGAAACAAGGCAGATCTGAAGGCAGAAGATATTGAAATCTGGAAGATTTAATTTAATATTTTTATTACATATTTGTGGAGCCCTGATTATACCCCCACCCTCCAGGAATTTATTTACCTAAGGCAAATTATACTACTGATTACAAGATTGCAGGTTCATTTTCACTGCTGAGAACTCATTGTTTTACAGCTCACGTTACACTTGCATGACTGGTAAAGTTTCGTAACATCTTGGAACTTTTAATGCTACGTTGTGGAAAGGTACTTATCTATAGATGAACTAGGCAGAATACTTGCTTTGCAGTCTTTTTGAGGGGGGAAAAAAGTTAGTTTCTGGGTTTGAATAGGCCTGTAAATGATTTCTTTGAGCTGCTGGATAGTGAGTTCACAAGGTGCTTGCAGGAGCTGCCTTGGGTTTGTCCTTCAGGCTGGGTACAAAGTGAGAAACTGCGAGAGGTGTCTTTAAAACAGAAGAAGGAATGCTTTCTACTGGGGCATAAAAATAAATGATGCAGAAATCGTGACTATTGTGTGCATGAAATTATACTGGCAAGAATCCTCTGTTAAATATTTGACAGACAGGACAACATCTTAGTCAGAATCTCAGTTTTTTCCGTTAATCATTGCACCTGGCCCTTTTGAGTTTTAGTTCATGTCAGCCAGGACTGCATACTGAGTTAAGGTCAGGAGAGATTTCCAGATGTATTATGATGATTACCTAACAATTCAGTTAATAGAGCCACAGAATTGGATGAGATTTTTGTCAGTTCCGATGTCACAGCAACAGAGACCTTTGACTGAAACAAATCATGAATATTGGATAAGATCCTGCAGAGCTGCTGCTCCATGTTGTGATATTATAGAAGGATGAATGTTATAAATATGAGTTATACTGTTCACTTTCCAGTGGGAAAAAACAAAGAAAAAAAATTCCCATAATCAAGTTCCAATACACAACTAGATATAATATAGTTTCTTTATATATATATATATCTGTATATATATCAAGTAAAAAAATCTAAAATAGTTGGAAGTAAAAAATGAAAAAATAGCGGATTGTGTTATTTTTTTCTTTACAGTGATATGGTAGCAAATACAAGACAAATGAGTAATAAACCTTTACATAAGGAGTTCTGGTCCCATCTCCATCAGTAGGGCTCAGACTAGAATAGAAAATGGAACAAGGTGATTTTTGTTTTTTGGCTACAGCTTCTGCAAGTGACAAAGATGATGTTGATAAGGCAGAAGGAAATTATAGCACTAAATAAAATAAAACTCCAAAGTATTTTCCAAAAGACCTTAAACACCATCGGGTAAAATTTACGTCTGAACTGGGGGAGCAAACACAAAACATCACCAAGTCCTACTGAAGCTGAAAACACTGTATGCTTATCCTGGCCTCATCCCTTTTGTGCCACCTTACCATAAAAAAACCCTACAATTGCTTCCCCTCCACCCCCCCAACAATAATAAAAAACCTAAAGCCACAAAACCATTGAATGGACTGAGCCAGACATGAGATCTCAGTGATGCGCAAGTTGTCAACTGCCCTTTGTCCAGCCGTGAATTTTCCCTGGAATCCTTTGCACTGAAAATGTCAATTGACTAAGCTCAGCAAATGGTCACACTGAGCCCTATTTTGGCCATAGAAAAGAAAGAAAGACTAGTCTCAGCATAAAACAAGATCATATAGACAGTCAACACAAACCAGTATTTTTTTCAGTTGTCTGCATAATAATAACATCATATTTGCATATAGAACAGCTTTTGCATTATTGCTCTACTTATAAGAATAAAGTAAGGAACTTATAACAGACTTGCACATTACAAACTTAAGGTTCTTTGGTGAAGAATGAGAAAACAGTATTTTCGCTGTAATTGAATCTCCAAGAAGTTTTGATTTTTATCTGTTGATCCTTTGGATTCTCTCGCAGAGGAGGGAAAGGTATTGAGTCAGTTTTACCATCGCGACTATGGCGACCCCGCCGATCATCATGCAGGTGGGCCAGAAGAGGGAGTGGAACAGCACGTTGGAGCTGTACAGTTTGGTTAATATCACATTCTTCTGAACACCTTCGGGGTCGTAGAAGCAGGAGAAGCGCTGGTACTTTCTGAAGTTTTCCATCACCACGTTCACCAGTGACATGGATTCCTCATAGTTCTTACTGCACTTGGGTATGTATGAACACTGGGAAGAAATCAGAGGGAGAAAAATGCATCTCCAAACCAGATACAATGTCTGTTTTCAGGTGGCAAGCAGGAAAATCTCAAGATGATTATGCTTTTCATAATAAGAGTGGAATACTATTAAGCTAATTATAAATTTATCACAGACAAAACTCAATATTTTGCACATCTACACAATTTCCCATTGGAGAACCTCCAAGTGCTGTATAAACGTTAATGCTTTAATCTGCACAGCGGCCTCGTGAGATAGGTGAATATATTATTATTGCTAATTTACACATGCAAAAACGGAACTGGTGAAGTACCTCTTCATCTTAAGTGGCATGCATATGCTCGCAGTTAGATGGGTAATTGTCTCTCTGTAAACACAAATCTGGTAGTTCAGCTCTCACGTGGATGGGATCAAAGTGATCCCAGTGGGCACAGGAGTTCACCCACAGAAGAGAAGGCTGATGAGACACCTTTATACGAATTTGCCCTTGGGTGTAATGCCTCGATTAGGGACAAATAGATAGTCTAGGAGAAAATGCAGTTTTACTACTGACAACCCAGAACACTTTCATTCAGCCTCTATCTGAAGATCAACCTGGCTACCAGGGTGGCTCCTAGTCTTGTTTTCACTCTTGACCCCAGCCTAAACCCAACAGTTCCTTCTCTCTGAAGATGCTGTTTGAATTTCACTCTCAGTCACAAAGAAAAGAAGACTTGGGGGTGGCTCTATCTAACACAGTTTCAACCTAGCATTCCCAAAGAACACTAAAGCCACATTAATTAAAAAACTAGTTTATGGAGTCCATGCATTGAAGATATTCCATGGGACATGTAGGACAGTGGCCCTGGGCTGTGCTGACCACTCCCTGCAAAGAGCTGGTGTGGGCTGGTGAGATGCTGGGCAGACACAGAAGGAATGAGGCCACATCTGGATTTTGACTTAGAGCAGAAACATCTGAATTTGTTGTTGCTGGTCTGGAAGAGGATTGATGGGAGCGGCCCAGGGTACCTTGCTCCCTCCTCTCTTCTAGACACTTATGCCCCTCCACAACCAAAGGTTTTCTGCCCCTGCACAGGATTTTGACTAAATTCCCTACCTAGGCAAGAACTGCTTTAGGAGGGGTGGAAGTCTGCTGGTTGACTTCTTGTTGAATGTGCATGGGGGGACGCAGCAGGTCACCACTTCCTCACAGCTATGGGGTGATTCTGGGTCCCGCCATGCTCCCTGCCTGTGCCCTGCTCAGCCTGGGGGAGAACCTAAAGTAGCTCCAGATAATCTAATGAGAGGAAGTGAGTTTTGCAAAGGAAAAAAAAAAGTTTTGATGAAAATAATGAGACCCATGGCTTTTGATTATTATTGTTTTGATGTATATACTTTATAAATGTCCCTCAGTTCTTTATTATGACTATGCTGTGACTTTTTTGTAACATACTGTGACAAATCTCTAGTCCTAATAATGATCAAAGGATTAACCTCATAACAGGATTTGATTGATCCATTGGCAAGTTTATTAGCATAGAATATGATTTGAAGTGCAGCAGAAAGATTGTCTGGTGTTAACAGACTGGAGCATTAAGGGCAGAGCATGGCAGCACTGCCATTATGAATATTTCATAGAACTCTGGAAATTAGAGATGGAAAATATCAGAGCAGTAATATCTCATCCGTCTGCAGGTCTGCTCCCTCCAGGATATTCTCTTGCATTCTGCCCGGCTTTGTCTTAAATGTCCAAAGCCACGAGCCCTCTTCCAGTGGCTATGACTCTTCAATAGATCATAACCTAATAAGTAGGGGAAATAGTGAAGTGAACCTGATTTTCTTTTACTAAATTTTGTGCTATCACTGTCGTAACAGCAGTATTTCCAGCTCAGATTTTTTTTTTTTTCTTGCAAGTTTGGTGCTATAAATTTTTATTTCTTGAAGTCACAGCTGTTTACTATCCTGAGTGAGGAGATCAAATGAGGACTTGGCCACTTTTGCCAAAGTCCAACCCTTCCCCCTTGAAAGAAGACAGCAGGCACATAAGAGCCCGAATGATGACAGATTCCTGGATTCAGCGTCTGTGCAAATGTCCCAAGAGCACAGTTAGGGGAGGTCTGACTTCCTGCAAGTCCAAGAATTTTCCAAACATTTTTCACGGAGACCCGATACTGAAGCAGAGCTTGAGGTGGTGTCTCCTACACCTGATGGCACAGAGCCACCAGCTGTGCCAGGCTGGTCGGGCTGCCCATGACATGAGAGTCTGGGAGCAGGAAGCTGGGAAATGTGGTTGTGCAAGAGAGGTTGATCTACTTTGCTTCTCAGCCAGGCTCCTTGTGCTGAAACCGTCTCTCTCCAGGTCTTGGTCTCCCATGCGCTCTCCAAGACATGGGTGCCTTTTGCTCCATCTGCTATCTGCCTTTTTCCCATTCTCATGAGCTCCTGGAGGCAGCTTGGGCTCAGATTTGAGGAGCTCCTCAGCACTATAAATCACTGTGTGCTTTAAGTTGTGGTTGTGGGGTGCTCCTGGCCTCCTTCCACTCCTGGGCTTCCCCAGCGAGATCCCAGGGACAGCACAGGGCTGGCTCTACCACGTTGCGCAGGTCATTGACAAGCAAGTAGGCAAACATGGATAATGGGATGTTTTGAATGTTTTCTTTAGTTTGATTTTAATTGAGTTGTCTCCAATGCTTGGCAGGGAATTTTACATCCACAATTGTTACACTGTACCTGCGAATGTAGACTGCTAAATCTATGCTGGTTTATTGCACCTCTGCCTTGTCAAACATTTGGAAATCTGCAAACAATGTCTGGCTCTACCTCGAGTGAGGATTCTGTGATACAACGTGAGAAAAGCGATTCCTGTGTTACTTGCAATCTGATCACAAGAAGGACATACTAGACTGCTACAGAGAGAACTTGTTACTACATTTCCAGCTCTACTTTCCTAATTTAAAGGATTGCATAGGTAGCCTGTATGGACCAACTCTGAACACGTCCAGTCCAGTGCCCTGCTCAGCGCAGAGCTCCTCAGGGACTTGTCCAGTCAAGTATGAATATCTCCAGGGATGGAGGTCACACAACATCTCTGGGCAAGCTGGGGACAGATTCATTTAAATCAATGATGTTACATGGAAAATGCTACTGCCAGAGAAGCCCCCAGTTCAGGCTGGGCAGTGAAATATGTGTCTCTCGTCCTGTGTCTGCAGCTGGGGTGTATGTCCCTGCCACACTGAGCTTGGGAGCCGGGACTGGAAACTTTGATAAGGTGTGCTGTGGCAATCTTTGTGACAAAGCGGTCAGGATGTCAATTTACACCTCTTTTGGAAAGTGCAACAGGTTTGAACTGAGGGCTGAAGGAGGAGCTTTGTGTCTGCGTTGGCCTGATATCGATTCCTGCAGGCTGAATTCTCCAGCCCCAGCCCAGAAATGGGTCTGCTGGGAACCGCAGCTGAACACCGCTGCTTCCCCCAGCACCGGCAGGCTCCTCTCCAGGTGATAAATACCTGAACCTTCAGCGTGAAACCATGATATCCCCCATCATTTCTGAGTCTCGGGCAGTTACAGCTGGCGTAACGGCGATTCTAGTGATTAAAGCCTGCTCGTTATCTCACTTATGGAGCACGGCTATAAATCAGCAGTAGCTCCGATGACACGGAAAAAATCAAAATGATATAGGATGAGATCAAAACGGGGCCTCTAGAACTGCTGCAGCTACCACAGCCCTTCCTCAGGGTGACAGCCTGGCTCCGTGGTCCAGGGGTGAGGGGACACCAGCTGATTCCCTGTCCCAGAGGCTGTTACAGCCTCTGTCAGCTGAGAAAGGAAAAAGGAGCTGTGAGAGCACTTAAGCCACTATAACTGTAGCATTGATGAGGGGCTGGGCTTGTCTTAAAGGCTAAAGATAAAATAGGTACAGCGAGAGCAGTGAAAAGCCATGAAAAATCTCGTGCACTTTTCTGGGAAAGACTCGAGCAGCTTGACTGGTATCCATTTACTTCCCACTGATTCCCACCGGAGACTGGCAGCAGCACACTGTAGATCTGAATATAAATTGCACCGACTCCTCGCCGCACCTTGTGGGATGATGGCTAGCTTAGACAGCAAGTCTCCTAGGTCGGTCATTATTTAGGATCAGAGTGCATTTTGCTCCATCCGCATTAGCTGGTGGGGAGAGGAGAGAGACGGGCTCCAGATGCTGCTCCATGGGTGCAGTGCTTCTCAGAGAGGCAGAGGGGTTGGGGGGGACGTGGACCTTTTGAAGGTCACGGGTGTTAGCCTTGGAGGCTCCGCAATGTCCCCAGTATTGTCAGGACTCAGTGAGCCACGGATAGGATTTTGTTTTGTTTATTTGGCAAGGAGCAAGATAGGAAATGCAGACCTGTGTAGGTGGATGGAGAGAGACAGGTAGCATGCAGCTGGAGCATCACAAAACCGGCCGTGTTCAGGGCTGCTGGTCTGGCTGGGTGAGAGGGAGTGCCTGTCTGGGGGAGCTGGGATGGGTTGGGCTGGTCTGAGCTTGGAGTTTCTGCTGATCCCCACCAGGCACGAGAAGCCAGGTATTTTATAGACATTGCAAACTTCCATTTGAAACTGTGTTTGGATTCAGGTCACATAGCCAGCAGTGTGTCAGGAAAACCTAGGAATCCTCCTGAGAGCAAAGCTTAACCTGTAAAACAACCTTGGGCTGGAGAAGCATTAACTGTGCCTACATTAAATTAAGAGGAGGCGGTGTCTGGGAGAATTTCAAAGTCCATTTCAGCCAGCAAAAATCATCAATAACAGAATGTGGAGATTCACGCTGAATCTTTTGATTTATATGAATCCAGTGGAGCGCAGAGACCGATCTGATCTGTTTTAATCAAACTGTGGCATGAGCATCAATGCATTTTGCTTCTGTCCCAGCAGAAAGCGGGGACTGTCCTGCCCCAGGCTCCACAAGCAGTGAGTGCCTCCTTTCTGCACCGACACCGAACCTGAGGGGAAGATGGGGCACTTCTCCATTTCACACTTCAGATCCAGAGGGCTTTGTCTCTCAGCCACAGGAGCTAATTATCTAGCAGAATAACCAGCCCGGTGCAACCACGCCATGCTTTGACTAATTTTAATATCGCTTCATCTTAATATGCAGAAGTAATTTGGTCTGCTGAACTGCTGCCATAAATAGAAACACAATAGGTTACGCTGTCAGCAGCCTGAACCGGGGCTCTGCTGTTACGGGCTGTGCTTTGCCAACCGCCCGTAGTTTGGGGTTCGGTGACCTTGGATAAATAAGTAGTAAATGCAAATCTGGCACTTGTAACTCTAATGACTTAGCTGCATCCCGGCTCATTGCAGCTTGCAGTTTTAGGCACCCAGGCTCTGCAGATAGGAAGAAAGGATGGTGGGGAGAGGGACATTTCTGAGTCCGGCGCTGCCGTGCTGTGCGGAGGCAGCAAACAGCCACCTGCGCGGAGGCGATGGCTTGCCCGGGCGTGAGGCATGGTGCTCTGTCAGCCGCACAGCTGGGGCTGCGGGGCGGCGGGGAGACGCCTTCTGTGCATCCGCTGCGCTCATTATAGCCTCCAGACAGGAGCTGTCACTATCCCACCTGGATGGAGTTATGCTGAATGTTGTACTTGCTGAAGCAGAGAGAGGAATTCTTCTGCAGATTTGTAAAAATATCTTTTTTTTTTTTCGTTCAGTATCTGGAATCAGGGAGGTTGTGCAAGAACGATGGCCTGACTCCTGAGCTCATACATTCCCCAAAGCCAGGCCTTTTATTTTCATGTTGTTGCTTTTACCTTGACAATCCTGCTCAGCAAATTTTCAGCATCTTTGCAACATCTGCAGGGGTAAGTGCTGTGACCCCAGCGGCACAGCTGACCTCAGCAGAGATGCTCAGGGCACAGAGTTTGTCACCAGAGATCGAGATGGAGACATGTCTGCTGTCGGATGCGGGGCTCTCCTCTCTCCCCATCACCTTCCCTGGCCCTGCAGGAACAAGGCCGTTTCTATTCTCACCGCCGCGGATACTCCGTGCACATTGCTAGGGGTGTTCACTGTCATGCAGAGCTGTACCCGGTTGGGAAGTGCCTTGTCCACAGCTCCAAGAACACCAGTGTGCCAAGTGCTCAGTGCTGGCCTGTGCCTGTAAACCACTGGCAACGGGTGAGGGAGGCTCTGGCCCCTGGGGCCACCACTGCTGCATGGGATGGAGGTGGAAAACTGTCCCCTTCAGAGATGTAAACTCAGTTTGTGCACTTACTTCTGCTTTCTCTGCTCTGTATTTAGCAGGGAAGCAGGAGCTGGAAGATTTATATTGCTTTAAAGTAGAGAAGAGGTGTAACAAGGTGGGCAGCCCTCCAGAAACCTATTTAAGAAGAAATTTTATTCTGTGCTCCTACCTCAGAATTAATTTTCATTGTTTCCTCGGTGTGGTAGAGCAGAAGCTTCTGGCCAGAAGAGGTGAGATTAACGTACACCTGGAGGCAGGGGTACTGAGAGATTTTCCAACAGTCTGGACCGCAGCTAAATGAGCAGTTGAAGGTTTCTGTGATGGATGCATTGAGAAGCGAGCACTGAGTCTCTTCTGTCCAGACACTAAGAAAAAAAGAGATGTTAGAGCATGGCGAGAATGGGCAATAGGCACTAAATGCAGCTCAGGCTTTCCATCAGAGATATACCCGGGGACATCTTGTAGGAGATGGTATGTGTTGCTTTGCACAGGGCTTTGAGCAAAGGGTGGACTTTTTCAGGTCACGCATCGCAGACAGTTCATTATTCTGTAGTACCCAAAGTCTGTGCTTTGGGCACAAAAACACCTGATTCACTTACGTCTATGTGGAAATGAAAAGGGAACTGGAACTTCTAGTCTGGAGAAAGTATATTTGAAACCAAAGGAAATCATGAGAGATATCAGGGAGCAGCTTGCCCTGGGGAGAGCAAGACGCACGCAGCACTGCGTGACGGGACACCCTGGACCCAGACACGGTGGCTAACCACGAAGTCCAGTTCCATTTAAAGGGAAGGCTGGGAGGACAACTCTGCATTACCAGAGTGCGGATACTCATATGCATGAAGACATGGTAACACCCAAGTGGTACCACTGGCAGCTCCACCTGTGGAAAGGCTTTTTCTAGTGGCACTTTGCTCAGTTTTCCCTGAGTGAAGTCAGTGGTTGTAATTGTTCTGGAGGATATCAGCTTATCTCCAATTCAGCAGAGGCTAAAACTGGAATGATGGAGCCTGGGCGAGCACTGGCAATGTTCACTTGGATTTCTCACATGCATTTAAAAGTCTAGGGCTGTGTTTTCCTTAGGGATGAGAGCAGTGGGATGGGCACTCTGTGAAAAGCCCTTCAGGGGCTTGGGGAAAGGCTCCCCTTTCGCCCCGCTCAGCTCTTCCGCTCACACCCAGTGTGGCCATCCTGCCCCCCATGGATGGCCAAGGGCCTGCCTCCCCCTTGCCAAACCTTCAAAAGGCTTCACACAGCAAGCGACATCAAAGATTTCTGACTAATTCTCTTGGTATTTTACTTCGGCAATAATTCTGCTTGTATATTCCATTTTACATTTGTATTAAATAATGCCATGATTTCTGGGGGGGAAATCAAATGAAAGGATTTTTTTTCCCCTCCCAGGCAGTATTTTGTTGGAGGGGTATTGCTGTCTGTAAAGGAGAATAAGCCCTAAGGAGACCTGGCTCTGCAAGGAGAAGTGACAGCAAGGACTCCTGGGTTGTCCTCTCCTCACTTTCACCTTTCTGACTGCTGTTTTATTCATGCATGGGGGTAATAAAGTAACACCTACCTACAGCTGACTTGTGAAGATGGAATATTTGATACCTTGTAGGTGTTTTGATATCTTCTGGCAATTTTTCACACAGTTTGTAATATAAATCATCTCTTTCCACATGAGAAATTTTGACCTTAGCAGCCTCTGCAACTGACCCTGATATTGCTGAAAGGTCTGGCAGAGCAATTTGGAAAAGCAAATGCTCTTGGATACAGAACAGGTCTTGATCTCTGTTTTCAAAATTTAAACTTTGCCTGGATTTAAAAAGGGACAAATACCTTTATCGCACAAATAAGATGCTGCAAATCAGTACAGTTTATTCTCAGGCATCGCTACTTTTTCTTTATTGCTGCAGGGTCAAGAAGGAATATTCTCCTGCAGGGACACAAGTATAATTGAGGACGTTGACACCAGTTAACTGCAGGCATTTATTGTACATGCCTAAAGAAGAAACCTGTGGTGGATAAGCCAAAACATGCCAGGTATCGGCTGCTCTCTCAGGGTGGTTTGGGGTATGACAGACTAGTGTTTTGACCCCCAATTACACATTTTTCATTCTCCTAACTCCACTAATCAAGGCAGAAAAAACATTGCTGACAGTCTTATTACAGTCTGGGCTGGATTTTAAATAGGGCTGATGCTTGAAAACTGATTTCAAATGCTGCTAAGGAATCCCAGGCCAAACTTTCTGCTCCACGGCAGAGAAGGAAGCCAGAGGACTCAGAACAATTAAGTGCAGTGCTGTAACAATGAAAGATGATCTTTCACTTTTAGCAAATTACTATATTTCATAAGGATTTCACTTGTTAAAATGAAACTAATAACCTGCATGGAGTACTACATGCTACATAGCAGCTTGATTTCTTTCCCAAATTAATTCTCCATCCTTCATTTGAAAGTGCGTTGTTTCCCGAGGCTGCTAAATATTTTGGCTGTTTTCTCCTGCGTTTGACTGAGCTTTGCAGCAGCAGCCCCTTAAGAGGCTTACAGGGGTCAGCAGGCTGCCGACCAGCTGATATGGATATTATACTGGTGCTAAACTGTGGCAAGTCTAAAGTCTACGGATCAAGATTTCATCAAACAGGGATCTAATTCTTCCCTTGCTTATGCTGGTATTACTCTACTCCCTTTCACTGGAGTTCTGCCTAATTCATACTGGGGTGAGGAAGTGGAGAATCAGCTCTATGTTGACCAGCTGGAGCAGAGAGTGTGAGATCAGGGTAACCATCATGAAATTACCTTTGCATGTAAGAGCGCAGCAGGGTGATTCCCAGGAGAAAGAACATCATGATAGAGCACACCATCATGGCCAGCCCGAGGAGTATGGCCCGGTCTTCTCCGGCTTTGAGGGCTGTGACTGTTTTCCTTTTGTCCAGTAGATCGTGATCCCTGATTTTTTGGTAAATATTTCTGAGGTTGAAAATAAGACATTCTTATGTGAAGTTCATATTTAACCAATGAACCCTCTACAGGGTGGGTAGTTCCACCTCCATACCCATCTCGTGGGAGAGAAAGGCTTAAGGGTCCTCAGGTCCTTTTTCATCAGATTTATTCTGGCCTGGTGGAAACTTATTCATCTCCAAAATAAATTACAGCCATTTCTGAAAAAGTAAAAACTTCTTATAGCAAATATAAAGATTAAACACTTGTGCCAGCTCAGTAAATCCTTCTTTGGTACAGCTTCATTGGCTCAGTTGAATTATACCACAGGTGAATTTGACCTGTCAATGCCAATTTAGGCCACTAGAAGATGTTTAGATATAGGAGATGTCTTTTCCTCAGCTGAATATTGTAACAGGTCTTATGTTACCATACGTAGAAAATAGCCTGAAGAAAGTTGTCCCTGAAATTACCTGAAAGGACCACGTTCTTTTTGGATTCCCTACAGGCTAGTGGTTTGGGTAATTTTCCACCCAGAGTGTGATTCAAAGCTCATGAAACACTATGGGGATTTTGCAATTGATTTCTGTGGATGTTTTTTGATTGAGAGTTTATTTACTTTATTTATAAAATAGCTTTCTGGAAGCCCAGTTACTCGTTACAGTGGAAACTCTCGCAAAAAATTATCCACCAAAGCTATTTGTTCTGGGATTAAGAAAAAGGAAGATACAACAAACCATTCCCCCTTCAGCCGAGAGTCCTTTGCATTTTCTAACCATAAGTCCTTCTTTCATCTCTGAGCCTTTGATGATTCAATGGGTCATGAGGACACAATGGTGAAGAAGGAAACATTTGAGTACATTTCAAACACACTCAAACTTTGTGGGTTTAAAATGTACTTACAGACCTGAGGCTGGTCAAAATCTCCTGTGTTTTCTGTAACAGTTCTTTAGAATCATCCAGGCAGCACCCGAAGCATGTGAACCGCACGCCTCTGAGCCCTGGCACCACCATAACATGGACAGAGTAGTACACGTGGAAGAAGTTCCTCTTCTACTGTCTGCAAAATGGCAGGTGAGCAACATCAACATCACTTTGGGCTCCAGCAAACCCACCACTCGTTTAAGCTGAAACCACCAAGTTTTTCTCAAGCTTGGAAAAAAGCAGTGTGTGTCAGACCAACCGTATAACTTACATTCACCAACAGGGACAAAGAAATAGAGTTAAGACAGATGTAAAGTCATACATAAACACAGTAGAAACAAGAAAACAGGTTTAATCATAAACTCCCTAACATTGCAGTTGAATTTGTATTTAGACAGTGAATCATAGCCAGGGAAAGCACATATGGTGTGGGGTTTTATAGCAAGAATTTTGCTTAGATGGTACTGCAGTCACTAGCCTCCCATACCTAAGACCCCTTGTGGTTTCTTCATCCAATTGTAATTTACATCTTTAGATGTCCATGGTTTCTCTTCAAAACCATCCTTTAAAGCTTGTCAATTCTTTCCTAGTTGGAAATGAAACGGCAATTCAGCCTGTCAAATTTTTCTCTGGTGTTGGGGAGAAAAAAATATATTGTGAATTGGAAGGCGCAATTGCCTTCAAAGAAGTAATGTAGAGTAATAATCTAATGTTACTTTTCTATTATTATTATTTATCAAACTGTATTTAACTCTGAGAGCTGCTATTAGGATTTGCATTTCTCCCGAATGGAAGCAGGCAGGAAGGCAGAGATTGTCATGCAGTTCCAGCACATTAACCGATCACACAGCATAACTTATGTCAGTGCGTAGACATAAAACAGACACGGTGCCATCACTCACTAATGTCACCAGAGCAGCGAGGACATAAAAGGGAAGCAAATGGACAATTTAAAAACAAATAGCTAATTGAGAGTGGTTACAAATACTTCCCATGTGGCCTTGAGCCAAGAAACGTGCAATGAGAGGTAAGAAAGGATGGACTGAAGGGTGTGTTGTAGAAATGATCTATTGGGCAGGTGACTGGCAAAGGGAATGGTGTGCAGTGACTGCCTGCCAGGCGGATCTCCCATGCTCGCCTGCCATGGTAAATAAAGCTAAATAAAGCTCTGCCTCAGGGGTCATGCTCGGATCGGTTGTTCAGTTGCTCTTTTGCAAATATTTGTTATTCAAAGCCCTGAACAACAGGAAAGTGGTAGCCTGGTGCACCTTGCTGAGGGGATTTTTTCTCCTGAACCCCTGCCAGGAGCCAGTCTGGTAGCACCTGCCAAGGCGTGCGGTGGCGTGGCACATGTCAGCACGCGATGCACTGGTCCTGACTCAGCCCAGGAGACATGCTGAGTAACTCTTCCTCCTCCTCCTCCTTCCCGCTTGTGCCTGCACTGGAGAGGTGCCAATTTGCTCTGTATGATGCTAGGAACATCTGCTATTACCAGACTTCACACTTTTGCCCCCAAAAGCCCTGGTTTTGGGGAACATGCTACATTGTGCAGAATATTTTGCCACTGACAGAGCAGCCTCAGCATCTCCTCAGCTGGAGCAGCAGTGGTGGCCTCTCCATGTGTGCCCTGCTCTGTGGGGGGGTTGTGTACCTGTGAACTTTTGGCCCAGCTCAGGGACCTCTTTCTGCTCGGTGAGCTGGAATAGCGCTGTGCTGAGCCGGCTGATTTTGGATCCCAGGGCTGCACAGCCACAATCAGCTGACTGCTGCAGTGTATTTAGGTACAGATCACTGCACCCCAGACACTACTCATCCAGGTGACTCCATCTCATACTTATGATTACCCGCGACAACTCCCCAAATATGACACTGAGGGGGGCTGTTTGTTTTTAAATAAGCCCCACCTGTCAGAACATGGGATGTCTCTGTCCTGTGCAAAGACATTTATTAGAAAGCAAGCCTCCAAGTACAAAAGGTCTTTGCTCTCCTGATCACTTCCGAACTGAAATTCTCCCCTGTTAAATCTCCATGGTCCTTTTGCCAAATTGCTCAGAGGATATAAGCTGGCTCCTCTATCCGGGCTCAGCTGCCAGAGAGGAAATCTCGGCCGTGAAAATGCCTGCTGGGGCCAGAGCACAGATTTCCCTCTCCGTATCTCTGCACAGCAGTCGTGCAGGGATCCCTCTGTAACGTGGGCAGCAGCTCCTTACGTGGTCTCCAGAGGAAGGCTCAGGGAGGACCTGTGTGATGAAATTAGGCAGCCCAGCTTACAGAATTCCCAATGCTCAGGGACTCTCCTTCTCAGAAACAAATTTCTTTACTTTTTTCTTTACAGTGTTTTTTTTTAGCTGCATCAGTTTTTGTTATTAGAGCTATAGCAACAGGAAATCTCTCTGGAGCTCTCACAAAAGTCTCAGTGACTGTTGTAGAAGGATTCCCATCAATACGAACAGATTTCGATCACTCCATTCCTCCCCTCTTCCTCACGGAACTGGACTGAACTGAACCAAACCAAACCAGTGCTTTGGTTTTTCAAGCTTACAATGTCATGGAAAACATAATTGACAGCTGAGAAAGAATGAGGGCTTGACTAGGTTTCCAAAGCCTAAGACGTGGCAGTTGGGGAAGAGCATATGTCTAAAACAGCAATGAAATACATACATTTAGGCTCGATCTTGCAGAAATAGATGTCTGAGAGACATCTTCCACTCAGGAAGAAGCGATTCATCCACAGCAAGTGACTCATTGCTGCCCAGGGTATTATTACTGTGCGACCCCTCAAAAGTCAGCAGTCGTGGCACGTGTTAGGTGAAAAGTTTGTTGCCCCAGTTGACAATCTTCCTGTCTGAAGCTTAAAGAACAAAAATTCCTAGCAAAGGGTCATTTAGAATAAGTCATTTCTCTGAAATTCTCCGCCTGTTTGATATGGTGATGCTGCTGGGGACCTTACACATGTTAAAATCCCTGCCAGACACTGGCAGATGAGTTTCTCCCACCAGCAATACTTGCTCTGTGTTCACACCTCTCTTCTGCAGTCCTGAGGCTGCGGTCAGCACTCTCCTCTTTCCATTTTCTCTTCCTCCCTTTCCCTCCTGCGTTTTATTAATCACTCGCAGGGTATGAAAAATCCCCTCTGTATGGCTCTACAGGACCAGCAGGGAAATAAGCCCACCCAAAAGCTTGTAAAGACATCTGAAATTACCACGGCTGGTATGTAAGTACAGAGATACAGCTCTCTACCTCCCCATTTCTGTAGGCAGATGGGGGTGAGCTCTGCCCAGCGTTTAAGCTGACCAGACGCTGGTGAGCCCTGTTTAGCACAGTGCTCAGCCCAAGTTAATAAGTCCCACTGAAAGGCACGGTGTGAGCTGAAGGCCATGATAATCAGGAGCACATGGCTTCCAGCCAGCCCAACATGTGGCCAGATATCTCCTACAAGTGTCTAACCTTGGACTATCCTGCCCATGACAGCGTTTTAACGCAGAAGAACATTAGCCTGGGGAAAATTCAATTAAAGAGGAGATTTGCAGAAGTACATGAGGCAGTTAGATAACCAGCTCCAACAGCAAGTCCACGGAAACCTGCTGCCAAGCTGGCCTTTGTGCCTTCAAAATAGCTGCTTGGGATCAGATTATCAAAAGAGCTGAACACCTATGCAGCCTTCACAGAAAAGTTCAGCAAATGGACCGATTCTCCAAAGAGACTCAGCATCCTGAGGGCAGCTGTGCTGCCTGAACCTAGGAGTGCATTTTCCCAGGCAGATGCCAGCAGTAATGTCTCATTAGAATAACTGAAGAGTGTGCTTTGCTAATTGGTACTGTAGATACATTGACCTCTGTTTTTGTTTCACCGAAGTCTGATTTTTTGTGATTACATTTAGTAGTGGCTGCAAGGGGAACTGAAGGAGTAAAGAGGAAAGAAGAGAAAAGAAAAGAAAGGGAAATGTGTCTGGTTGTGACAAGACAAGCTGTCCAGCAAATCTCACTACAAAGGAGAGAGATTTTGGAAGGATGAGTCTGAGTGTTACTGACAATTGTTCTTTCATCATGATATTTAACTTCTTTCATTCCCAACTGAGTGCTGCCTTTGTCTGTGGACTGAAAACCTCTCCTTCCCTTTCCTTCTCTTCTGCGTAATTCCCTTCTCTCCTGGGAGATCCCATAACTCATTTCTTCCTCTGTCTCCTTCAGCCTATTCCCTCCAGCAACACCACTTAAAGGAACTGGTGGGCTTTTGAGCTGCCACTGTGCAATGTATCACGCACACATTCATGCTCATATATGCATGTGTATAAACAGAAAACATTCCTGACAGCTGGATGCATCATCCAGATGTGTAGAAGTTATATAGGGCAACAATCTGTCCGGGGGAAAGGAGGCACTGTGTGTGTGTGTTGTCTGGAGCGGGGTGTGGGAGCAGTGTGGGCCAGTGGCTGGAAGCAAGACACTTGCAAAAGGTATAAAAGCTTCACAGGTGTTGGAGCCGGGGCTGCAAACCTGTGACTGTGGACTAGTGTGGTTTTAAATGTGCAATCTGTGTGTGCTGACCTCAGAGACAGTCATGGTGTGCTGCTGATGTCCTGGGGACAAGGAAGACTTTGGCCATAGCTCTTCCATTGTCCTTCCACTCTATTTTGGCTTGGCATGTTGGCCCTGGCACTGATCCTGGTCCTGGTGTCAGTGGAGCCGTAGCCAGGGGGGTGAGAGAAGTCAGGGGACACCCCTTGCATCCCTCCTCCCCCTCTGTGCCAACACTGGAGAGAAGCTACAGGCCACGCTCCCAAAGATTCAAAACCCACAAGAGACAATCAGCATAGATGCCATTTACCTTTTCTCATCGTGTCTGTAAGATGTAGAGCTTCGGCCACTGGTCCAAATAAACATTTTAGAGGGTTGCCCAGTGTTGGCTTTGCTCGCTGCAGTGGGACGATGGAAGGACCTGGGGGAAGAGGGATAATTTTTGTCACTGCCCAGCCAATGCAGCACACCACATGATAGGCAGTGTGCCTGTGGTGGCACACTGAAGGTGGACCATTTGTTAACTCAAGGTGAGATGTAAATAATGGGGATGAGAGAGCAGTGGGTGAGAACAAAGGATAAATCTCATTATCCCCACTGGTAAAATGTGATACTGGCTGATCAGGCTTAGCTGTGCTCCACACTGCAAAAGGTTTGCACCATGGACAAGAAATCATTGGTAGTTTAAGAAAGGTCATGGCTGCATCCAGTGTTTTTGTGGCAGTATTTTGGGGGTAGAAAGTGGCAATTGTTGAAGCACACACACGTTCATTACAGCTTATTGGTTGTATGGCAGCTCTCAGTGCAATGAGGCTCTCAAGGAAGGTGTCTGAATGAGGCACGAGTATGAGATGTAAATGCAGCATTTTGTGGAAATGTAACTGGTGTAGCAGAGATGTCTTTTCTCACAGAGAAATTGCCCTTCCAAGGCCATTTGGCCAGACCAGTTAGATTCCGCCCTAGGGGCTTCTTTGTTTCACAGCAGGGTATGAGACCTGCTGTCTTCTCTTGGGCTCTCAGGGTCTTCTGAAGAGGGGAAAAGTCTAAGGAGTTTCATTTTAAGGACTAAATTTGAACCCTGTACTTCAATTAGATTCCATAGAATCAGAAATACAGAGTTGGAAGGATCTCAACAAGTGTTGCTGCTCTCCTGCCCTGATTCAGGGCACATTCACTATGTCTCTGTTATTCCTAGCAGGTTTTGGTTACCCTAGATGAACTGAATTGGAATAGCCATCTTTCCAGACGGTAACATCATTGCCAGGCTGGAAGCATAGGCTGTATTGGACCCGCAAGTGGGACTACAGCTCCCCTCATAGCTCCTCCTAACTGATCCTGGTTTTAGTGAGGCTCAGTTAAAATCTCCATCTCTGAGAACCGGGCCCTTCTTGGTGAGGGCAGTGTTTTGCACTATTTTGTTACAGCACTTTGTGGTTTTACTACATTCAGAGAAAGGCTCAAGAAAAAAAAAAGAGAAATATTCCAGATGCCAAATGCTTTAATGTTGAAGTTTTTCCTACACTGGGGGACCTTCTTTAGCCCACTGAAAAATAAACCTGACTCCTGATGCTGTCAGCAGAGAAGGCACATGAATTCCTCAGTGTTCCTTGTCTGAAAAAGTCTGTAATGTCACTATCTACATAATCATGTAAAGTGCTAATTTCAATATTTGCATAGTGGTGAACCTGGGAGAATACTTAAATCCTGTAGAGGTGGCTGCAGGGGAAGCCTGAGATGGATGGGAGCCAAAATCCATCTGTATGCAGACAGGCTGAGGAGTGCCAAGGGACCAGGCTCTCCATCTGGAGTCAGCCCAGAGCCCCACCACGCTGTCCATGGCACAGACCCAGGCCAAACACACAAACTGGGCAAACTGGTGACCCCACCACCTCCTCCCTGCTGGGATCCTGCTGCTCCCTGTTGCTGCAATGCTCAGAGATGCTGGCTCGGGACTGGGGCTTGAAATTACAGCTGGTAATACCTGACAAAGCTTTTGTGCTGCATTCATACACAGCCCATTGGTAAAGAAGTGCCCAAAAGAAGGGAGGCAGAAGGAGGGGAATCTCCCTCAGCCCTTTCCCTGCCCCTACATCCTCTGTGGTTAAGTGTTGGGGAATGAGCAGTAAGACGAGGCATTTCCTCCCTGAAATAACTATAGTTTAGAAGGTGAAACAGCATCTACGAGGATCTAATCAACCTAACCACTAACTAAGAAGTGTTTTTATAGTGGTCACAGCCAGAATTTGGTTTGTGGGACCTTGTGTCTAATCCTCACTCTGGCAGGTAAGGTTGCACCTACGCCACCCTAGACAGGGACCCCCAAGCCAGCTCTGAACAGTGTTTCTGCACCGAGCAATGCTGGAGGGCCCAGAGCCATTACCCAAGGGTGTGGAGGTGACATCGGAAATTGGACTGAGACCTGTCTCAGGTTGAGTCCCTTAGTGCTGGAAAATAGAATTATATATTCACCACTGCACCTTTTAGGATGTCACACGTGAGTTTCACGATGACAAAGCCTGGCTGGCTGTGCTGCCACAGCCTGAGTGGTCCCAGAGCCATCAGGAGATGATGGTGAATGCTATCAGAGAGTCTGCTTTTAATTAAGCAGAACTTGGGCACACATTAGAGGTGATGAAGAGCTTCTGTTGCCTGAGTCAACAGGGACACCTGGGCAGGACTGCCTGGGCAGAGAGGCAGGATTCACCAGCTCCAGAGCAAACTGCAGGAGCACCACCAGGGCCAAAGGGTCTGCCCCACTGAGGGGATGCCAGAGAAGGAAAAAAGGTGTCTTCCTTCCCTCCAAAGTCAGAGTGATTTCAGACCCCTTATAGTGCCAGTGCCCTGGAGCAGTCCATATGCGATAGCGTTAATGCTGCCTGCTTCATTAGCTGGGCAATCCCAGCCAACCATCGCTATTTAACACACCATCGCACACCTCATTTTGTGTAAAATTGTAACACTGATGACGTCACGGCAGCCACTTCAGAGGTCAGATGTAAGCAACTAAAGTCCGTGGTTCCTTTGGGTGGGGGTTAGCTGTAAGGTAAGAGCCTTGTGCAGAACACTAACTGTACGAAATCCCCAGGACCCTCCACTGAAGGCCTTCGGAGGACATGTAACCTAGAGTGGTTACAACCTACACAACCACGTCCTGCTCTCCCAGGTCAGTTAGCAAACCTCCATGCCTTTCTCCTCCCCTGAGTTAATCCCAAAGTAGGACTGTGAGCCTTGTTCCTTCCCTGTCCCCTCTCTTTTCTGAGAAAACAAGTAGCGCTACTTT